AGCTCGAAATAATTTTTTTTGGCTTGTCAAATATAAAACATTCCATTTTTGAATTAGTGTTCACGACATTTCGAATTTAGGTATTTTTTACAATAACAAAGCAACACAGAGTTAGTTATTCTTTCTGGATCAATGAAGTCAGCTTCTCGAAATTTAAGAAAATGATATCTTTTCACTAACTAGTGGACCGGGCAATGCTTTGCTATTGCAGTGCATTACGCATCACAAACTACGGGTCACGATCACGATAATCATATTAATACATAATTTTGCGATGTGCAAAAATTCTAATAGATGAAAGACTTTCTCGCAAGTACGGGTTTGATCTACGTCCTGGTTTTGACATGGCTCTCAAGTATCTTATGTTTAAAACGTTTCAAGTTTGAGCATGCATCCGATATGTCCCTGTAATGGAGTAATTTGACTTACGTGTCCGAGATTAAAATAATAATTTTGACCGATATTTCACAATCGCAGGGGCAGACGCGCTTAATCCATGACTGTGCGGCGAGTTGCGTAGAGTCCAAGGGAACTCGAGTCGGGGAACTTGTCATAAAATCGTCATAAATCATCATTCATCGTTGTCAACGGCCCCCATGTCCGATTTAATTCAAACCACTCTTTAAACATACCCTTTACTAATAAGTGTGAAAATTTCAACGAAATCGGTCGAGTAGTGTTTGTGTCTATATGAGACACACATACGCACGTTCCTTTTTATTTATATATAGATTTAAGAACATAAACAGCGGAATTGATCAGGTTTTACGTAATAATTTTCAACTTGGGTGTGGTCAGAAAACTTCGCCGCGAAGTAAATTTGTAAGACTTAATGTACTTTAATAACACATAAAATCGATACACATCATGCTTAGTTCCCCAGATCATCTTGTTTGGCGACCCAAATGACCAGAATTTTCTGAAATTTTCCGCGTGAATTGTGTACCCCTATGCCGTTGGGCCACTGGAAGACGATATTTATATTACATTGTTCAATACGAACTTATAGTTATCATTGGTCTATCACTAACTGACATCACTTAAGTAAAAAAAAATTTCGACATATCAACATCCAGGCAGACTAGCAATGTGCCTATGGACAGGTGCCAAAAAATATTAACGTGAATCGTTGTAATGTGAAAAATCGCACCCAAAGTTTCAGTTGTGACATCACAAAAAATAATTCTACACTGGAAAGTTTGGAGGTCCCTGGCTCTCGAATGTGCCGGCAGACCCCAAACATTGATTTTTGTGTTGATCACAGATTTCGTATAGGAAGATGAAAAGTGAGTAAGTAACGGTTTTGGGTCTCCCTCCGTACGACTGAAAGGTGTGTGGTTGATCTTACCCCATGGGCTGTGTTTTTCAACTTTCTGTGGGTAAGAAATTTGAATGAAGCCGGCCCGGATAGCCGAGATTGCTAGGGCAATAGTACCGTAGCGATCTCAGACCGAAGGATCGTGGGTTCGAGACCCGCCTCGGACGTGGTTGTATTGTGTGTTCGTATCGTGTCATACTCATAGTTACCATACTGTTACACGCAATAGTGGTCGCTAATAACATAGTAGTTGATGCGACCTTAAATAACAACAACAACAAAAAATTGATGAAGCACCACACCCTAAGCGAGTGGCTGGGTAAAACACTGTCTTCAACGCACAATCTTACGACACAAATAGAAAATACTTTGTAAGATAATACTTGAGATTTCTACGACAAACAGGAACCAACGAAAGGGAAGTTGCACGTAAATTATACGAATGCCTCCTGAATATGATATGATTTCGACGGGCACAATCCAGCTTTTCTCTGCAAATATTTTTCACTTTCTTTTAATTCATTTCATTCTAGTACATAAGTACCTAATAGTAAAACATCAATGTATTTTAAATTATAATCGTATTGTAGTCTCCTTTCTTTCAAGCACGAGACTATTCTATCACCTGATGGCATTTCTACTTTAAAAAGCATGTTATTTTGGCATTTTAATTATGTAAGGAATTGATATTATTGGTTTAAAACAATAACCACTCCTTTTAGAATAGTAATATCGTACTTTATATATTTTCGAAACAATAATATATTAAATTTTATTATATAAATATTATTTATATAAAACGTATATAAATATTTGTTTATTTGCAGCAAGACTCAGCTACAAAAAGGGAGTTTACGGAAGCCGAATTAATAGGTAAGATGCAACATTCACCTCTCTAAAAATATAATTTATTAACACAACACGCGTATTGCTGTAGAAAAAGACTAAAGATTCGGGATTGCTTGGGCCAGGAGAGCATATACAACGATACACAATTTTCACCACCATTTCAAGGTGTTGGATAGGCATACGATAACACAAATATCTGAACTCATTTCAAACATTTCACGAGTGTTTAAAATAAAAAAAGTGCTTTTCAAAGAGTAAGATAATTGCAGAACTGTACCAAATATCGCTTCTGACCTACTCTGTTTTTGGCTTACAATTTTATAAAATCCATAATGATTAAATAGTGATTTCTTATGTATTATGGGCAATCCTGAACTAAAGTCAACTTTTCTCTATTACATTAGTTTGTTTTCTCTTCAGAATGAAAACGAAAATCTGAGACTCTCGCGCACATTACTGAAGTAATTTCTGTATTATCTCATATAAGAAATTAGCTTATCTGAACACTATTATTACACTTTATTAGAGTACTATAAAGTAAGTACATATAATGTAATAGTTATTTAGCCACATTAATTGTGAGGCTTCTAAGTCCTTCCATTATGTACACTAAGAACGTCACAAAATCGTATTACCAAGGTTAAGCAGTCAAATATAAATAAAAATAATAGTATACTGGAATTATACAAAACGAATATTCGTATAATAATAGTTGTTTCGTAAATAACTAGTTCGAACTGTTGTAACTTAAGAGTTGGAACCGCAACAGTTTATCGCACGGAATCACCGCAGAGGATATGTTTAAGTACGTGATGTTAACCACGAAGATTTCAAACCGGACATATTTGGCTGGCCCAAGATTACTTTCCTTCGAAACGAACTACGAATACGCAGTGAGTAGTCATGGTCCAATTCCAGCATCTTCCTACATCTCCGGCACCGAGAACACTCCCAAAGGAGAATTCGCCGAAGCTGGACCTTGCGAATCCGTAAGTGCAGCTCCTTTGAATGAGAGAGGGCGTGTCTTTTAGCGCGTGGATCCCCCAGCCGGTCTTTGAATCAGTTGATCCGCGCCATAACACATCCGTCAAGTCCACCCGCGCAGCGGCGTTTCCGATGGGAGAGTGTTTGCACATTGGAGGCAGCGCGGTGCTCAGGCCGCCCGCCCTGCCCCGCCCCGCT